ATTTTGTATATGAGAGAGCTGTGTGTAGTAGGGAGAGGTATGTATGTGTAGTAGGAGTGTGCACAAATCAGCCCAAAGTATGCCACATTAAAATGTAATTGAATAATTTTATGTAAAGCGCTGGTAAAAGTCATTTGACTTCATAAGAGTGTGGGTTCGATTTGCCCTTCAGGACTGCATTGTTGACTGGCTGGTTTGTTGAACCCATCCAATATTAATTCGAGTAAATATTATTAACTGACAGACTTAAAGCGTGTTTTTTCGAAAAACTAATATTTAAATATTAAAGCAGCTTTTGAATTAAAATTCCCTAATTGCCACTTAAACTATAATGAATAATTCATGTAAAATGTAATTGTTTTTATTGTAAATATGCGGAAAAGAGTATGTATTTAATTTATTTTGAATAGACAAGTGATTTAATATTAAAATCAATCTGAAACATCTTGAAAAGATTTAATTGTACATTGAAAATCGTGGAATGCTAATTAGAATATTAAAATTATAAATTAATGAAAGCTTAAAGATCTCGATTTCTGTGCTTTTTTTTATCACTCCTTTAAAAAACTATCTACTTGTAACTGTTTTAAATAAGAAACTACAACTCAAAATTAAATTTAATGTAATAAATTTGTCACAATATAAATTTATATTTGTTCCCTTTCAATTCAACCAAATTGATAGCTTTTATAGCTTCCTCAATATTTCCTTTATTTTTATAATTGTAAATTCTAGCAAAGTAACCCAGTTCTAAGGGAATTTAAAATATTTATTTGCTATTAAAATTTTGTTTAGATTTTGCTTTGGTTCTCCATTCCCTTACGAGGGATGGCCTGCAGCTGGATATTTTATCCACAAAATATTTAATTTCATTTTGAAGCCCTGTTTTATGGCCTGCTCCGATGGCTGTTCAGCTTGGACGCCTCTAAGCCAATGTCCTGGGAGTTGTGTCTGGTCCTGGGACCGTGTGGATTGGTCAGCTGGCAGCCCGACATAAATTTGCAAATCGACAAATATGTCATGCTCAATACAAAGCGGCGGTGTGTGAATGCGAGTGTGTGTCTGTGGGTGTCGGGTGTGTGTGGGTGTGTGGGTGTGGGGGTGCTTAGATGCCTTGGTGTGTTTTTGATGGACAATGTTTGCTTATCGCTCCACAGGCTACGTCACTGACCCGAATGGGTTCATCCCGCCTCCGTTCCCGTTCCCAGTACCCGTTCCCATTCCATGCCCCGCCCAAGGCCCCTTGGCCTTGTTCCGGGCACGTGACTGACGCCTTGGTTCCAGTTCCACCTCCCCTCTCCCCCGTCTTCTCTCCTCCGTAAGCGTTTCCGTCCCTGTCGCACGGCCAATCCCGGTCTTATTTCGGCCAGAATCACCCGGCCCCGTGCGCCTAAACGTATGCAAGATAGCATCTGTTTTCGTCGTGTTACCGACTTACACATGTAAGTCACTCATATTTGAGTGTGCCGGTGTGCGTGTGTGTGCGTGTGTGTGGCAGTGTGCATGTGTGACTAAGCGCCTACATGCCTACATTCATTACACTTGTATGCGTATTAGGCGCAAATATTGGGGCTTTACTTAAACAGCATTAAGTCGAAATTAACATGTCTAAGCCAAGCGAAGGAGCACACACATACACCTAGAACACATCCTGGCCTTAGGACTACGAGAATCGGAAATAGAACTAAAACTATGGCCAAGAAGCAGAAGATTGACCATAAAACAAACATGTAAGAAATATATAGAATATAGAAATATAGAAGACTTACCATAGCTTCAATATGAAAGATATACATATATATAATATATAAGTATATTTAATAACTATATTATTATATATATATTCAATTATTATTTAAACACATTTATCATTGGTACTCAAGAAATCATTAGGGTCCTTGAAGTGCCATAAAACGGTGTCAAATAATATGCAATAAAATCTTGGTTTCTTTTCATAGTATAACATTTTATTACTCAGTTTTTAGACACTCGTTCAAGAGATAAAAAAAAAACCCTGGTGATTTCTCCTACTTATATAAATATGGAAAGAGTCTATTCATATTTTCTTGTGATATAAATCATTGAAAATGGTACCAAAAAGTATAAAAATATACTAGGAACCTCCACAAACTAATTTTTAAAACCTTTAAAAACATGTCCAACAACATGTCCATACAATGCAATTTTGTTGACTTTAAATTCTATGAAAAATGGTCTCTTAACGATGTAAAACTATATTGATATCTGCAATCCCCTTAAATCCTATATTAGTAGTATTTAAACTATTTTATTGCATAGTTTTTGATGGCATTTTAATTGTTTCTAATTCCCAATGGCTTCTTTCCGACCCCTCTGAAATATTTTGAAGGGTCTTAAACAAAAATAACAATCATTTCGCGACAGTGCCAAAAACCCAAACTGAAGTTCGCTAAGCCGAGGACTCAGTCAGACACTCGAAATCAAAACTGGGAAAGCTGAGAGAGAGATCGATAGTTGCCGGGTAGGTGGACCATTCTGCAGGTCGTATACTTTTCAATTCAGCAAAATTCAATCTATCAAATTCGAGGCTGAAGGTACAACAACAAAAACAAAAAAAGTAGCTAAAATCCACACACAGATAAAAAGTAAAACCAACTCCGTTTGTGCTTTATGCCAATAAAAACAAAGCAAAGTAAAAAAAAAACTATAAGAGTGGAGAGCAAGCTTCCACCTTTCGCAGCACAGAGCCAGGAAAGAGGCGAAAAAATAAATTTAATAAATAAATAAAACTTCACGTGCTGCACACACACATTCAAAGAGAGTATGATATCATCTGTGTCTTTAGTTGTGTACTAAAAATTTTGCAAATATTTTTTAGATTCAGCGGCTAAAACCGAGTGACTCAAAGCTTCCCGAGGTTCCGTTGAGTGAGCTTTAAGGAGAGCGCAAAGAGCAAAGGACTCGTGCGTTGTGCTCTTTGGTGGTGAATTTCAATGTTCGGCAAAACACACGAAGAGACAGTCCAGGACTCGTCCTTTGCTTCAGAGAACTGAATGCCAGAGGGCAAAATCCTTCGGGAATTTGAGAACTTTTGAGTGTTAAGAGATGGAAGTTTTGCTGTTGAGTGAGTTCTAGTTTTTGAGATATTCTCACAAAAACTCTTAGCTTAGTCCGAGATTGCACTTGAGTTAAGTGAAAGTATTCTCTTTGGGAGATGAGTGAAACTGCTTACTCAAGAGCACACTCTAAGGCTAAGTGAGTACTTATTTTGAGCTGTGTAAGTTTGCTGTTAGCGTTTACTTTTGCTTAAAAAAGAGTTTAAACTCATTTAAGAGTTAAGGTTAAATTGTATACATTATAATATAAAATTAATATAGATCTGTAGATAAAAATTCAAATAGGTTGATTATCCATTAAAAATTTAAAAGGCCCCAAAGTATAAAACATTTAAATAGAACTATTATTTAGATTGCGTTTTTAGCTTTCATTTGCAACAAAGAATTAGAAATACAGAGTAACATTTATCCTTCAACTTTCATTAAGACACTTCATAACAATTTAATGTAAAAATTTTAGCAATTTGCAATTTGATTCACTAAAATGAATCCCACAAAATCTAGTAAATAATTTTTTTCTTAACCTATTTCATTTCCATTATCAACTCTTTTCAATTTGCATCAATTAGGGAAGGTCCTTTTCACCACATTCTCCATGCCTGCAGCATTAATCACACTGAAGCATTCAGAATAGAAAATGAAGGTGTCCTTCCTGCCAAGAACTGTGTTTTTAGAAAGCCAGCAGAGCCTTCAGGCTGTTAAAACTTTTACCAGCAGATGCTGCCCAGCAAATTGTCGTGCAAATATATTCGATTTAATTTCTGTAGCTCGATGAATGAAAACAACTCTTAAAATTTATACATAAGGCACACAGGTGTGTGCAACATACACATCTTGAAGGAGAAACCGCAAATTGCTAAGATATTTACACAAATAACCGAAATATTTTAGTAACCCATCGGCTATCGATTATTTATCGTCCAAGAACAAAAAAAGAAAACAAAATAATAATAAAAAAGCCACAATCTTGAGCGGTAGATATTCAGATGAACGGATACAGATAAGACGTATAGACTCTGCCGTATTGGCTCCGACGCAGGGCAAAAGGTCATTAATAATTCATAAAAATAAATTTTACAATAAAATTCAATTGATTGTGTAAATATTTTCCTTTGCCGCAGAGGCCGAGCCGAGAATGGGAAGCGGCACACTCACCTTTGGCTTTCCATTCCCCCGAAAACCGAAAGGGAGAAAGTGGCTTCGCTGGCGTTTTGATATTCTGACGGGTTGTGATAAATGTCCTGATCCCAATCCAGGTGCGACTCCCTTACCTGTACATGTGTGAGTGCAACAGATAAAAAGGCAGCTACCGTGTACATAACCGCATTCCGCGGAGCACAGAAAACAAAAGTAAACAAAATTCGCACATGTGATTGGTTTTTCCCAAACAGAGCTCAAATTTTTGTACATAAATCAAAAAAACTCCGATTGAAATTACGTAAGCCGTTTGGCAAACCGGCCTGTGAAGTGTAAATTATTCAATTGTGCAATTGAAAGGGACTGAATTGTTATGGGTACAAAAAAACAAGAGGATTATACTAGGTATTGTTAAGGTAACAAACTAATAAAAAAGGTTACATTTTTCCCACTTCATGTGAATAACGTCACTCCATTTATGATTTTGGTTATAATTTCAATACAAACTTTTTAGAGAGGTTTAACCCTTTAATGATTATATCGGCTTAACCAATTTTAGGATGTATTTTACGAAGTTTTTCAAACTGTTCTTCAATTTCTAAAGGAAATCAAGTCAATTCTGAACACTAGGATCCATTATCAAAATAAATAAAGTACAATACCTTATAAACAAATCGTTGTTTACCAGATTAAAAGCCTGTTTCTGCAAATAATTAATTTTAAATCATAAAGTCCTTCCTTTTTCTGTCAACATTTTTCGGGCTTGTCAAAGTGATTCCAAAAACTCATTTGTTTCAGTTTATTTGTATTAGTAACTAACGAAGCATTTCGATCTTTTCCAAATTGCTTTTTGATGTAAGTAGAAATATCAATGTTTTATCAATTCATAAAAGTCTGTACAGTCGCAGTCATTATGTTTCGCCCATTGACCATGGAATCTGTGAAGAGAATGGATCGCTCGAGGGAAGAGGTTCATGCCACTCTGGTGCTTTTTGGGCTTACTTGTGCTCTAATTCGATTTGTACCTATCATCATGAGAAAGATATCTTCCTAGAGATCAAAAATGATTGCAAATCCATTTTTAATACGAATGCAAATATGCAGAAGTGATGGCTTCGATCGACTTTACGGCCTAAGAGTAAGAAATCTTATAAAGCATTTATTTGGAGCTAAATAAATAAAATTTAAATGCCATGCATAAAATGGAATGTAATATTAATGATCAATACTAAATTTTAATGTTAAAGAGACATTATTTTTAGTTGTAATAAAGTCTGGGGTTAATTTTCCAAGAAATCATGCCTAAGACTCTTTTCCCATTTATATTCTCAAGCTTTTTAAAGCTAATTTCTTTTGTTTACAAAGTACTATTAAAAAGCTAGGGTACAGAAATAACTAACATCAATTCCACAATGCTGTCCAAAGTATGAATTTGTAATATTTCAATTCAAAATTCATTGCAAATATCTTTTATTTAGCAAGGTGAAAGATAAGTATAATGTTTTAGCATACTTCTTGACACCATTCCAATTGATTACAAATTCCTTGAGATTTCTGTGGCACCTACTCAGATAGATATATACATACATATACCTTTATCGACAAGTATTTATGTATATATGTATATACGGTGAGGTAAAGAAACAACAAAGTTGTAAAAACAAATCTCCGCCTATACCGCTAACTAGGAGGCCAGGAAAAACATTTATACACGAAGCAATGCCGCAGGTTAAGTGTATGCAAATATAAACAGCGTGTGAAAGATATGGCCACGGGGCAAGTGGCAGGAGCGATGGGCGGCGGAATCCGCCTTCCTTGTAACCGCCTTGAGCGGTACTTATGCCAATGTTCTCCCTCTCTCTCTCCCTGTCTCTCTGTGTGCAAGTGCTTTCCTCAAGTGCCTGCTCCACTTCATTGTTACACTTGCCTCCTCTATGTGTGTGTTTGTGCTTAGGTGCTGGGTACGAGGGGAATGCTGGCACCATGCATGAGAAGGATTTTCTACTCTACAATAGTTTAATTATGATTGTGAAGTAAGAAAAATTTACAGATGAAGTTAATAATTATCTAGTGCAGTAATAGTTAGAGTATAAATAAGAAACTTAAAGTAAAATCCATCTATAGTTAAATTAAGTGCACAAACCTTGTTATAGAGAACCCATCCGTGTAATCCTTTGATAACAAAAAGGTCACCTGCTTACTTGAGACATTCCCCGCATGTCCTCAAGCTGATTAGTGTACGCCATGGCATTTTGATTGCCTGGGACACCTGTTGTTCTAAGACCTTTTTTTCGCCTCTTTCCTCCGACTACTGTCGAGCCAATCGAGCATGTAGCGCAATAAATTATATAAAAACAATTGAGGAAAGCCGGGGGAAATTATTAATAAAAACAAACCCGAAATTAGGGCTCTGGGTATGAAGGAAAGCAACGGAAAATTGATGAGATCCGCAAAAACTCAATTCATTTGGTATGCATGACTTATTGCCGTCGACGATGATATGGTTTTTGGAAATTTAATTAGCGTTAAAATACTGTTGGCCAAAAGTTATTGGGAGCCGACAGCCGACAGTCGACAGTCGGCGAAAGTCGCGTATAAATCGTAAACTTTTTAGGGTCACATTTATTTACTTTGGCAGGTTTTTGGCCACTTAAGCGGGGGTGAAACGCAGCCATCACAAATTAGTCCATAAAAGTTATGAGTTTATAAACGCGAACCGTTAAATTGAAATCGGCCTAAGAGAAATGAATATTTTATTTAACCCAAAAGCAGAGCAAAACAAAGCTCGCTGGGCAAAAAATGGGATATCAATTAAAAAAGGGAAAAGGCTTGACCATTTGTTAGCGGGAAATTGATTTACGAAGCGAATTGTTTGGTTTTTTTTTTTTTTGTTTGTGACAATCCCACGAAGTGGATTTTACAATTTTTATGAAAATACGCATTTAATAAAGATTTAAGTTTGCAGCCAAAGGGATTGTGTGTGATGGAATAAAATAATAAATATATTCAATCGCAGTGACAGAAATGTGATAAACTTTGGTTGACAGCTAACCAAGTAAAAACTACAGAATTTTCACCCATAGTTTTCCTTATTTAATTTGCCTAATTAACTAATTTATTTCTTTTGTTTTTTACCATTTCAGTTTACTTGTTTTAATCCCCAAAATAAATTAGCTTTTAAGATATTTCAATCACTGGCACAGTTCGGCATTTCTTTTGGCCAGATTCATCATTAATCAACACCTTTTTTGCTCCCTGTGAAACACCTTTATCCCAAAACCCAGGATGACATTCTATTAGTGAAGAGAGAAAAAAAACAATGCGAAAGCTGGAAACTACAAATGGAAAATTCTTTTCGCTCATTTGCATAAATCGACCATAAAACCAAACCGAAAACCGAAATATAGAAAAAAAAAAAGGGAAAGCCAAAATCTGTGGGAAATGCCCACGAAACCAAAGTGACATCTTCATTTATCAAGTGTGCAAAATCTACCGAGCCTCATCCACCACATTAAATGATAAATTGCCCAGTTTTGCTGTGGACCACATGTCGTATGATTGACGTGTGCACTAATGCCCGGCCAAGGCTTATTCTGGCTCTGTCTCCAGTCTCCAGTCGCCAGTCTAGAACCCTCCTCGTATCCCAGGGTCGTCGCAGTCTCTGCAAAACTATGCAAAATCGCATCCAAACTATTTATAATATTTTAAGCCCTGCACATCTCTCTGCCACCCCATCAATCTGCTTGCCTCGCCTCATATTAGTTATGCAGGCGGGCTGCGTTGATGAGAAAATGCAAATTAGTTGCCAACTTTGCCACAGCCCGCTACTCATGGAGTAAATAGCTAAAAAAAAAAAAGGATACGGAGGAGGAGGGTGGCTGGCTGCATCACCTGCTCTTCATCAGTGTCACAGACAGCCGAAAAGTATGCAAGCATTTTTCGCACTTTATAATTAAACAACTGAAAAGACAAAGAGGACTTAAAGGCGTTGCCTGGCCGCCTTCCTTTACCCCCCTCCCCCGCATCCAAACCAGCGACTGGCAACATTTGCACTGTAATGAACTTTTGCAATAAACTGCGCCGCAATTTTTCGCTGACAAAGTTTTGCCCTTTCCACCATCAAGACGCCAGGACACAGACACAGACCGGAGCGGAGGCGGAGACGGAAGTGCGGGCACCATTTTGTGCCTTTTGCTTATTTGTTTTGTTGCGTCTCTTATTTCCGGATAGCTGCGCATTTTTATTGCGCTCAAAAAGTATATGCAAGTTCAAATGTCAAACTACTTAAAAACTTATTGTTAGCAAAAGTACGACAAACGGCAGTGGGAGTAAAAGAACTTCGCCTGTGGATTCCAATTTCCACTTCGCAGATCGCTTTCTCTAGCCTGGATTCGAAGAAAAAGAAGGCACATCATTAGCCAAACTATATTTAAGCCAGAGAACGGATTCTCCAAATATTAATATAAACCGATTCTGCATAGAACCCAAAAACTTTACGAGTAGTTTTTAATTTAAAACGCACCAATTTGCAGAATAAACACATATATGTACATACATGCGCACCGAAAACGAACTTTTCCTCCGTTTGCCATATTTTTCTCAAGCTTGGGAAAATTGTCGGAGCAACGGAGCAACCAAAGTCAAACATTTTCAATAAAACTGCAGAAATTATTTGTCATCTGAGCAGACCCACTTTGTAAGCCTCTGAGAAATCCCATTCTGCCGGGGTAAGAGAATGCCAGACTGAAGATAACCGCACCACGTAGCTGGGAACATGTTCCCAGTTTTCACTTTAACTGCAAATCAAAATGTATTTAAATGCATTTGGTCGTGATGGGTATACAGCTCCCACTTGTCCCTGCCACTGCCTCATCCTCTATGTCTCTGTGTCTCGGTGTCTCTCTGCCTCTGCAACTCCTGTGCAGCTGTGCTCTACTCCTGGCAGTCGACTTCACCTTTTTGGTGGCTCAAATAGACATTGTTGACTTTGCATAATAATTGAGTTTAACTACTGCAAAATGGGAAATGGCATCGAAGGAGAGCAGGAGCTATGAGCAGGTGGGGTTATGAGTTTAGCTGCTTGGATAGGTTTTGTTTGTGGTTGAAAGAGCCAAGCCAGTTGAGTCAAAGCCAACCGAAGGACATGCATCCACCTATGCTATATACACACACACATACACCAGAGAGTGCCAGAGAGTGTTGCACCGCAATTTTTGGGAAATTTCAATGGAGTACTACACTACCGGGGCTACCGGGGTATCCGTATCCCCACACTCTCAACCCAAAATACGCACGGGCTCATCTGCAAAACAAACTTGGGCATAGTGCAAACTGCTCACGCACCATCTACCATATCGCCCAACCTCCTTTTGCGGCAAGCAGCCACAGTCTGTGGTGGAAAGTAAACGGCAGACGCCATCAAGAAGGCTCCAAGTCGGGTGCCATCATCATCATTCCAGGATTGGCGGAATGAGGCTGTGCATAACTATGTATGTTTCCCGATGTGTCCCCCGATGTGCTGTCCCAACTTGCAACTGATTTCCGTGCGACTCAAAATCAATCCACAATTGGCAAGTGCAATCAGAAAGTGGCAAATTGTCGGAGGTTTGATCGATTTTCATTTGAAATATAAACGTGTCAATTGTGGCACAGTGCCGCACTATTAACTATTTTGGGACTTTGGGCTATAGTAGTTTTTTGGTAAAATAAAATGTACAAAACATACAATTTACTTGAATTTATATATTTTTAAAAAATAAATAAGATTTCGGGGAAGAGGCTTTAACTCACAATATATTTAGAATCGAATCTCCAATTAAGATTAGATGTGTTGACAAGATGAAGTCTTCTAGTCATAGGTAAAATCCTCGATAAATAATAAATAATTATATTATTTGTTTTAAAAATTAATTATGGGTTTTGGAACTTAAGTTAGTTCGATAGATTATATATTTATACAAATGTTTATATTTCCGCTGCTTCTAAGCATCTTTATTCTTTGGTTTCAAAATACCTTAGATGCCTCTTAGCTCACTAGCTTAAAAATATATATTATTTGAATACAGAACGAATAAATATCATTTCATTTGATTCATTTAATAAAACCTTGGCTTAATAGTTTATTTCCCTTTTAATTAAAACCTCAATTCTCTGACTTACGACAAACCGTTCCCAAATTATTGAGATACTTGGAATACCTGGACCACACTGCCCCATTACTTTTCATCATGTCTGTACGCTCCGATGGTCAAGCTAAATCTATGGCTTCCAACATCCTGCGTCCTGCGTCCTGCGTCCTTCCACCTACATGCCACATCCCACAGCCATGGCTATGTAAATCAGAGTGCAGCTCTGCGGCAGTGTTGGTATTTGTGCTCCAGCGTGTGTGCAGGGAGAGACCGTGTTTGTGCGGCCAGTAAGGAGTTGTCAACAAAAACATAGAGACGCACTTATGGCCCAATATAGGCAAAAATGTTGCTGATGTGCTGTTGCTGTTGCTGTTGCTGTTGCTGCAGCTGCAGGAGGAAAAACAAAAAGTGCAGACAGCCAGACGGCTGCAGCAGTCGCTATCCTGCGAGAAGTCCTTGCCTTTGCCGCCACACTCTTTTGGAGATGCGGTCCCCCGGTCCCCCCATCGTATCTGTCTGCGTGTGTTTGCGAACTTTATTAGCAAAATTGTGTTAGTACCCAAATATCCATTAGCCCAATTACGTGTACTTTTGTACCAACAACAGCAAACGCTGGACCAGGACGCAGCTCCTGGAGATCCTGGAGCACTTCAGGAACAGGTCTGTGCTACGAAAACTGATAAACAAAGTGCAAGCACTTGCACAATACCAAACAAACGAGACGACAACGAGATGACAACCGAATGCTCCAGCTTCTCCCACAAATAATTCTGCTGTACTCCCAGCACTGACCAAGCAACAAAAAAAGGAAAGAAATAATAATAATGAATGTAAAACAAGTAAACCAGGCTGCCGAATCGTTTTGAGTACGCTTTGCTTTTTTATTCGGAAATGCTTTCTTTCAAAAGTTTTTCAATTTAAGTTTAAATAAAGTTGCAATAGCTATGAATTATTGTAGCTGTATTTAAGTATTTAAGTTTATATAAAAGGGTTTTATTTCGACATTAAAACTCCTTTTAATATTTTAACAAAGTCTTGTATAAGTTCATTTCTTTTAACCTTTTTTTATTGCTTACAATATATTGTTGTATAAAAATCTCTTTGGTAAGAGTATCTACCGAGTCCTTTTCACACTCATTTTCAATCGTTGTGGTAAAGATTGGCTTAGCTCTGTGGCTCTGAAGCTTTTACGTTCTAATTCCAATTGCCAAAAATTAAGATATATGTTCATCGAGTGCATTTGATTATTATTAAGTGATATGTATGTGCGTGCCTTCTGGGTTTTGTGGCTTTTGTGGTCACCAATGTCGAATCCTTCCTCGGAAATTAAAAAATATTGCCTGCTGGCAGATTCCTAGAGCCACTGACTTTGGTTTCCCTTACCTTAATGGTTTGAAAAACAATTGGACATTTGAGAGACATCTGACAACTCGAATGTCGTCTTAGTAATCAGAGACAAAATACATTCTCGCTTAAAACTGGATTTCGGTTAGACTTTCCTGGCTTTTTTACGTTGAAATATATTTTTTGTTTTTCCACTCCTGGCATAATAATAAGCCAACTTGTTAAATATATTTTTTTTATTTCCCAGTTGCCATGGCTAGCAAAAGCCTATTATATTCCCTTGACAGTCGGTGGTCCCACGGTGAATTACCAACATTTCCAACGTTCTTGGGGAAATTAAACTTTTACCCATAATTACTCAAAACAACGGGCGGAATAAGTATCTTGCCAGCACCTTGTCCTCACTCCCCCAGCTTTACTTTAAATGTTTTTCACACAATATTACAAATTTTTTCGGTTTTATTTGAAAGGCAAAGGAGAAAAATCCCAGAACGGGAGCTTGTGGTTTTAGTGAAAGCAAAGTACACAGGGGAAAAATTAGTTTTCTTTAAGTACTATGATTTATGATGAATTTTATTTCTAGTTCTCAATTATTTTTTATACATTTAGTCTTTATTTTGGCAGTATCTTTAAGGCTTTAAATATTTCCAATGCGATATATACTTCAAATAAATTTGCCTCGTCCTCGCGTAGTCTTTCTTCATTAATGAATGTGTCTGGCCAGGCAACTCTTGCTTTTCTTCAACTTTTAAGAGCCATATTTTGAGGCAACCGGCTGGACGGTCATCCTGTCAGTTCCTCCTCGGAGCCTCCTCTTCTAGTTCTGTCTCTCCTGTCCACCCCCCCGCTTCTTTAGGCGTCTCTTGTAGCCCGTAAATAGCGGAAAATTCAATTAAAAGCTTCAGCCACTAGAAAAATATCGTCGCCATGGCTATGACTATGACATAGGTACAGCAGGCCGGTCTTCTGGCCTGCATGGCAGGATGAGCGAAAAGGATTCTCTCTCTTGGTTTTCATTTTTTTTTCCACTTTTTTTTTTGTTTTTTCCTCCCCCCTCCCCCTTCCACGAAGGACCCTCCCACGGCGATGACAGACCCAGGGACTAAGCGCCGCACAAGTGACTGGCAAATGGCGATGGAGCGGATGGAGGAGGAGGGACTCCATGGAGGCACTGGGCCACGTCATTATTGCTAGCTAACGCCGGCCTAACAGCTAGTCCGGCCCAAAGGCAGAGGCGGAGTTGGGAAAAGGCTTTTTAGAGGGGATGAAAGTACACTAAGACATAAACACTTATATGTTTTTTAAAATTTTAATTAAATTAAATTAATGATACTTTGGGATAAAAGTGAGAGTAATAAAGCATTTTTATAGATTAAATGCAAGTTTCTTTAAGAAATATGTATTAAAAAAACATGTTTCTTTTGTTAAATTTCCTAACTATCTAAAGATTAAAAAAGTTATGTTCAAATTGTAATTAAACTATTGGTAAATAAAAACTTAAATTAAATGTACATGTCTTCGATAGGACATTCCAAAAACTAAGCATGAAATAATTCATTCATTCTAAAATTTCAAAAATTTCTAGCACAATTAAACAAGTACTTTCTGTGTTGAGAAGCAGCTTTGAAATTTCCATAGTTCTTTAGATTTTTGCATTATTCTAAGGATCTTAATACATTTTTTTTTGGTTTATTTTCTTCTTTTGCTATTACTTTCTTGGCTATTATCTTTCTAGCCCAGTGGCATGCTCTAGTTGAACAATCCTGTGACAGGTTTGTCAGACTTTTTCTGGAAAAACAAACCGTGGCAGCAAAGTTTAGTTCAAAAATGAGTAAAAACTGCAAAATTGAATTCAACTATTTGATTCAAAATTTCACTTAATATTAAATTTTTCTTCTACTTTATTGTTATTACTAACTGCTGTTGCCATGACAAAGAAACTAGATAGATAAAACACCTGAAATACCCTTTAAAGAGTTTGTCTCAGACTTTAGTATATAAATATGCCTTGGTAGTTATTATTA